CTCTGTGTGTGTGTGTGTGTATATATATATATATATATATATAGTATTCATGTGCTTTAGTATATGTAACAAACTAAAATAACCTATGCCAAATAATTAATTATAGAATGTAAATGTATTATAGAACGTGTATGTAATTTAATGGTGATTTCAACCTTGTTTATTTTAGTGGTTGTTCAGGGAATGTATGATGTATTATGTGTTGACCACGCGATGGTCATGCAATGTAAAAGTCTAAGCCAAGGCTTAGCTGGGATCAGAATCTAGGTATAATTGCCTAGTTGGGATATGATTTGCACGTGACTTGTATGGTATGAGCCTATGAATGTAAATAACTTGAATATGCATCAAGCCTTGTGTGTGACATGCATCATCTGCAAAACTTGTGTTTGTGAGGTACGATACAAAATACACTACCAGGAAAAGTCCCTTCATATAAAAGTTTAGGGATTCATAACCTTTGGGATAACTAGGTTTGGGAGCCCCAATTCTTCTTGTTATGTGCATGAGGTGTAACTTGACCGACATCGCTATCACGCATCTTGGTGTATCTCCTCATAGTGTAGAGTGTTATAATATTGTAAGATGATACGTTTTCCTAGGCTACTCTATGCTTGCCTTCAGGAAAGGGTTGAAAATGTTTTATTAATGCCACATGCATATAATATAGTGAAGCTTGTGTCTATTCATTGATGTGAGCATGTTGCTTATGAGTTGAATGAAGTTGAAACATGATTATTTTTTATGATGAACTATGTGATGGAAGAGCATTCACCCTACTTCCATCACTATGGAATACTTAACTACGTACTCGTGTATAAATCGATCTTTGTATCTACTGTACATGTGAGGTTAGCGGAAATACACATAGAAGGGAGGGTTGAATATGTGTTTGTGTGAACAAAGGTATTTTATAACTTTTTCGCAACGGTAGTGCTCTTCGTCCACTGCACTTTTGAATATCAAATGGTTAACCAGAGTTTGCTTAACTTACTATCAATGCGTCTAAAGGATTTATCATCCACTAGGGAAAATGTTCTGTAATGGTATTAATTGAAGTTCTTACATCTCCTTTTCAAAATGGTTTCGTTTAAGGATAAGTGGCAGA